CTGAACTCGAATTGTAGCCTGGTGCTTCCCCAATAAACTCCATAATCTGTGAGTTCTGTGTGGCCACTGCAGCGAATTATCGAACCCAGGAGAGAGGTGGTGGGTGCTTTGGGAGGAATGGTTGGAGAAAGGGCTGGAGGGAGGCAGCATGTCTGGCCTGGCAGGAATAGGCCTAGGGCTATTGATGGTGATTCTGCCTTCCTCTTGTGGGGTTCTAGGAGGTCAGAATATGTGGCCTTCTTGCTGTTTTTGCACACCCATGTAGTATTTACCACATTATATTGAAATTATCTCTTTGCCTATCTATCTCCTCCACACCTCTGTAAGTTTCTAAAGAGTAGAGTTTATGCCTCATTCAACTTTGTGTCAACTACAAATAGCACAAATGTTGGTCTTATATTTGCTGAACTAAGAAAAATTGTAAAGCAATCTGTGCTTTTGAATTAAAAATTATTTATTGTCTTCTGTTATGTATGTTTACTTATTTTTTTTGAAGTCTTTTAGAATACAGATTGAGATAACTAATCTTGATTTTATCTTTTAAAAAATTTTATTATGGTAAAATATATATAACATATTTGCCATTTTAACCATTTTGAAGTGTAGAATTCAGTGATATTAATTATATTTATAGTGTTGTATAACCATCTTCACTCTCTTTTTGACAAAAATTTTCTTACTCCACACAGAAATTCAGCACCCATTAAACAATAACTCCCAATTCCTTCTTCCTCCCAGCCCTTGATAATCAATAATCTACTTTTACCTATACATTTACTTATTCTAGATTCTTTATACAAGTGGGATCATACAATATTTCTTCTTTTGTGTGTGACTTATTTTACTTAGAATAATGTTTTTAGGGTTCATCTGTGTAGAAGCATGTATGAGAATGTCCTTTCTCTTTATGTACTAATAATATTCATACATATTATATGTATGTACCACATTTGTTTATTGATTCATCTGTTGATGACACTTGACCTATTGGCTATTGTGAAAAAAGTGGCAGTGAACACTGGTATAAAATTACCTGTTTAAGTCCCTGCTTTCAAATTTTTGGGGTATATTCCTAGCAGCGAAATTGCTGGGTTATATGGTAAACCTATGTTTAACTTTTTGGAGAACCACTAAAGTATATTCCGTAGCAGCTGCATCATTGTACAGTCCCACTAGCAATGGAGGAGGGTTTCAGTTTCTCCACAGTCATATCAGCATTTGTTATTTTCATTTTTTTTTTTTTTAATAATATCTATCCTAGTGGTATGAGTTGGTATCTCACTGTAGTTTTCATTTCTGTAGTGACTAATGATGTTGAGCATCATTTCAAGTGCTTACTCACTCAATGCTGTCCAGTCAGATCTGACTCATAGTGACCCCTCCTTGGGTTTCCAAGGTGATATCACTACAGAAGTAGATAGTCCAGTCTTGCTTCTGAGGAGTGGCTGGTAGGTTTGAACCGCCAGCCTTCTCGTTAGCAGTCAAATGCCTTAGGCACTATGCTACCAGAGCTCCTAAGTACTTACTGGCTGTTTGTTTATCTTTTTTGGGAAATGTTTATTCAAATACTTTAGTCATTTTTCAATTGGGATATTTGCTTTTTGTTGTTGAGCTTTTTTTCTGTTTGTTGTTATTGTTTTTGTTTTTAAGGCCTGCAAAGAAAACAAAGAAAGGTCCCAAAGAAAAAGCATCAGATGAAAAAAAAGATGAAATAGAAAAAATAAAGTCATACCCCTATATGGAAGGCGAGCCTGAAGATGATGTCTATTTAAAACGCTTTTACCCAAGGCAGATATATGAGGTGGAGAAAGCTGTTCACCTACTTAAGAAATTTCAAATTTTGGACTTCACTTATCCAAATCAAAGTGTTTATCTTGATTTAACACTGGATATGTCACTGCAGAAGAAGGTATGTAGACTCAATTAAATAAAATAATATGTGAGCAATGGCTGTAGAACTCATGGTTCTTAATTTTTAAGTGTTCTTTCCTCCCTTGATGATTGTTAGAATATATCATGCTCTTTCTGTAGCTGAAACTCAAACTAAACTCATTGTCATCGAGTAAATTTTACTCATAGTGATCCTCATAGGGTTTCTGAGGTTGTAAATCTTTATGGAGGCACATCACCCCATCTTTCTTCCACAGAGTCGCTGTTGGATTTGAACCACTGACATTTTGGTTAATAGCCAAATTCCTTAACCACTACAGAACCAGAGGTCCTTTTTGTACTTAATGTTATAAGAAAAATGTTCATTTTTTTATTTTCCAAATATGAAATACAGTGCTCCAGAGTGTCAATGAACACATACCTCCTTTCTCCCAAAAAATCACTGATATAAATTTCAACACAAGTAGTGTTGAAATTAATTGAGGTATTACTGTAACTTTGGAACGTTTCTTAAGCTACCTGAAAGTCATGTTCCTCTTCTAAATGAGGGCCTTGGAATAGGTCAGTGTCTTTTAGATGTGTTTTTCTAAATTCTAGGTTGAGAGTTTGTTTGGATGAGTGAGATTCCAAACCCCTCACTTGCTACACCCAGAGCTTCTATATAAGTTCATGTAAGAATTTTCTTCTGAAAATAGGAAAAAAAAAAACCCCACTAGATTAGCTTTGAGATCTATTACATCCCTAAATTTTAGAAACTTCTCAATTTAAAAAATCTAGTTTTTTTAATAAATGATCATTTTTATTCTGGGGATGTCTTTTTTTCTCCAAAAAAAACTGAATAGTATAACTTTTTGAGTAAACTTAACAACCCCAATAACAGCAACGACAGAATGCGTAGGCAGCAGCACAGGATAGCAATTAAGAGCATGTGCTCTGTAGTCACAAACTCAGGCTGAAGTCCTGTCTTCACCACTTAACGTGCTCATCTCTCTTGTTGCTAGGTGCTGTCAAGTCAGTTCCAACTCAGCAACCCTATATGACAGAGTAGAACTTTCCCCATAGGATTTCTTAGAAATTACAGTCTAAAGTGTAAAGTGTACAGTTTAAAGTGTAAAATGTAAAGATTACACTTTACAGAGGGAGACCTGATAGTACAGGGGTTAAAGCGCTTGGCTGCTAACCAAAAGGTCAGCGTTCAAACCCACCAGTTGGTCCGCCAGAGAAAAAAGACATGGCAGTCTGCTCCTGTAAAGAATTCTGCCTGGAAAACCCTATAGGGCATTTCTGCTCTGACCGATAGGGTAGCTGAGTCAGAAACATCTTGATGGCACACAGCAACAACAGTCTTTTTTTTTTTTTTTAACCAATTCTCCATTTAATGAGCAGCCAAAGGGATTAGGTGAGATTTTGCGGTTTGTCCTACTGTGGTGACATGTAGACGTGAGTTTTGAGGCTGAGCCTCTGGTGTTTAAAACCCAGCGAGATGCACCTGGTGCACAGGTAACAGCCCAGCTAATAGACTGAGACAGACTAGGAAGAAGGAAGAGGCCGTCCACTTCTGAAAGAACTG